GGAAAGTCATCGCCGGGTCGATATTAATACCTGGTGCACCGAGTAGGTCACCCGGGTGGGCGAAGTAACGAAAACCGTTCGACTTCCTCGGAGAAAGTCGTCGCCGGGTCGATGTTTATACTTGGTTCACCGTGTAGGTCACCCGAGTGATAAAGTAGCGAAAACACTTCGACTTCCTCGCGGAAAGTCATCGCCGGGACAATATTCATACTTGGTGCATCGAGTTGGCTACCCTGGTGAACGAAATAGCGAAAACGGTTCGACTTCCTCGGAGAAAGTCGTCGCCGGGTCGATATTCATACTTGGTGCATCGAGTTGGCTACCCTGGTGAACGAAATAGCGAAAACAGCTCGACTACCTCGGAGAACATCGTCGCCGGGTCGGTATTCATACCAAGAGCTTCTAGTGGGCTACCGGGGTATATCGGATAATCGAGGTAATACTCTACGAGAAGAAAAACCTCACGTGTATGTGTATGTATGTATGTATTGATGTATGAGTGTACGAAAATGTGTTTTAAATATACATGAAGTCGCGAAAGAACTCGCGAGAAGTTGATATCACAAAGGCAATATCGATCGAACTATGCGAGGGAAACTTTCGCCACGTAATAAGTACGCAAGCTCTGGCGCGCGCGAACGAGCGTGCCCGACTTGATTAAAGGTCCAGACGCGCGTTGCGACTCCGCACGCAAAGGAAGGAAGAGAAAATTAGAAGAGCAGCGGCGCATACGTGTGCTACTGCGGATATTTTAGCGAGCGAGCGAGCGAGGCTTCACCCATTCATCGTCGTTACATATTATGAAAAAGTTTCGGCTGCAAGTTTGGATACGATACGAAGTGTATCTATACTGGTACGCTTCATTCGAATCGGTTTTTATGTGACCAAACTGGGACAAATTTTACACCTACTTGATATTTTAACAGAAAATAGTTTCAATGCGATCGTATCACCTATAAACGACTCTTTCTCATTGCATTTGTAAAATACCCTAGGAAAAATTATCAATATTAATAATGGCCTAATAATCAAAAAATTACAATTTATAATGTTTTAAAACGTATTATCATTAATTGGTTTGTTTTTCGGATTTTCTATTCTAAATATGTTACAAATATAAACTGTATTTTAAATAACTTCAAAATGACTTTTTAACTGTTTCAAAAAATTTAGACCAGTTTACAACCACTCTAATATACAATAACATACCACTAGATGGCGGGTGCTTTTATCTGTAAAATGTACAAGTAGCAAAGTATTATCAAAGTATTAAGTTCAAGTGACCCGGTCACTTCCAGACAATGACATTTCGTCCGTCAATGTCGTTTCGTCGATTTACAAGAATAACTGAAAAAAACTGGTGGAAAAAATAAAATTCGTAATATGTTTTCATCTGAAATTTATGTTTGAATTTTATACATTTTAAAAGGAAAATCCAGCTCTTCACACTAAATGGTGAATATTTTTAATTGTAAATCTACAAGCGGTAGAGAATAAATAATTGCTCAAGTAATATGAAAATTGTGATGGTCGTTTACATTCGACAGATGAAAAATGATGATATAAGCAATAATTTTTTCCAAGTTTAAAAGTGATGCATTAATTTTCAAAATTAGCCCTCTTCTCCTCCTAATGTGCATAACAGAAAATGCATAAAAAATATTTTTGAAGAAATAAACTACCCTAGAGCGTATACACGAAATCATTTGCCTCATAATGACTCTCTGCTGAAGAACCTCTTAGCTCATTCATCCTTTCACGAACCCGGTGAAAAAGAGGCGAAAAGCTTTTCTTTCTCCTCCTAGATGAATTATCTCCTCAATAGAGTGCGGGAAAAATTGGTCCCGAGGCTAAGAAAGTGAAAATCTTGAAAAGGGCTCGGTGTATAAGCACATAGCTCTTTTTCCCCTCTCAATCTTAGCTCTCTTGCATTAACGCCCAAGCTCGATACAGTCATTACGTGCGTATATACGTCGGGCGGGAGACTAGGCGTCAGCCTTTTTGCGGTTGCCTTGCGAGTTTTGATGATGCAGCAGCAACGAGAGTACACCCAACGTATATACATAATATTATACACAGTTTCTGTGTGTGTGCTTGTGCTACGTGGTATTGCTCTTGCCCACGCCTCTACGTGCACTTACACACACACACACACACACACACACACACACCTGCGCATCCGACATTTACACATACACGTACACTTAATATACATGCATAATGCGGCATAAGATCGGGCGCGCGCGCGTCGCATAGCTCCGTGCCTTTGGTAAAGTAAATATTTGCTCGACATTGACATGGGGATAGCTGCAAGCTGTACTACACACACACACGCGTACACACCGACGTGTATCGAGGCTGAGCAGCTTTAGCTGTGTGTATGCTCCATTAACTATGTCCATTTTGCCCGTTGGGCAGCAAGTGCATGCGCACGATGCTGCACACACGAAGCTGAACTAACGATGCACGCGCGGGTAGTTTTTTCAAAGGACGACACTTTCGAATTTTCGAAATACCCAACGATTTGGCGAGTACCATACACTATGTTTTATGGTATTTGTGCACGTATATAATATATAGGTATCGAATAGTCCGGGCTATAGCGCGGGTAACGGGCAAAAAATCTTTTCGCAATATACATCGCTGTACGATCGTTAAATTGCACGTGCCACACTTGCATTTGACGAGTATCGAATCGAATTTACATGCGCCATTCAATAATCGGACCGTGTATATCTCGCTCATCCCCGGTGCCATACATATCGTAATTACAAATGTATCATGAGTCGAGAAAACGTGGCTTACAATATGGGCTCGTTCTCGCTGTTATAAGTAGAATATAATATACGTGAACATTTTATATCAATCGCGCGCATCAACGGATAAAATGTGCTGCTGCTGCCCTTCGCTCGTGTGCTCCGTTTATTAACGATCATATGTCATAATATATGCGAAACGTAAATGAACGTTGAACAATGCTGTGCGCGTTCATATTTAATAAATACGTATATCGTCGTATTGGATTCTTCATGCTCTGTTTTTTTGTGTTCACAGAACCGTACTGCAGAGGAGTATGGGACGGCTGGTCGTGCTGGCCGGACACGCCCGCGGGCGAGACGGTCTACCAATCTTGTCCAACCTTCGTCACGGGATTCGATCCGATGCGTGAGTATTGTACCAATACTTTTACATTGTTATCGAAGTGAAACTTTCGAGCGAGCGAGTGCGATAATCGTGGTGATTTCGATTATTTATTGCCTAGAGGCAACACAAACTTTAATTTAGATTCAACAGTTTTTTTCATTGAATTTGAATTCTATTATACAAATATTGTCAAGATGTAGTTTAGACATTTCTTTTTATCTTTATTATTAATAAAAATAATCAACTTAATTTGTCGAGTCTCAGCGTCATCGTGACAGGGCAAAAGGACGACACGCGCGCTTCGCCGATAAAAATAACTTCACTACTGCGCCTCGAATTGTGCTGCTGTTGTTGCTTCCTCGAGACAAGTGAAAAAAAAGAAGGAAAAGAAGCGACGCGTAATTGCACATATCGAATTACCCCGTGTACATACGAGGCGTCTTTTTTTGTAATTTATGCAATGCAATCAGCCGTTATTACGGGGACGCGTGTGCGCGCGAGCTTTAATGGCTCGTCAAGGTCGCCCCGGCGATAGACGCGCGACGTTGTATGTATACCTCGTAACTTTTTTTCCACGGGCGGAATACTCGCGAGGTTGACGGTGGAGGGAAAGCAAATTGTTTTTTTTTTGTTTATACTAGGATTTTCAGATGTATGTATGCTGGCTATTCGTAGCTAGGGTGTTTTCCGGATTTGCAAAGCTCACAATATACACGGCGAATACGAGCTTTGCGCGCGATATAGACTGAAAACAGCAAAACAATATCGCGAGAGTAGAACGCAAAGCAGCAACAGCAATGAGAGTGAATAGAGATGTAGGACAGAGCGACGACGGAGAAAGAGAAAAAGGCAAGCGTGTCTGTGTGTAAAAACGTCGGATATGCGAAAAAGTAAAAATCGAACGACGTTTATGTCTGTGCCAACGCTAAAGCTCGACGGCAATATATATATTTTTTTATATATTATACATGCGAGATATGGGACGTGCTTGACTGCGGATACGTAAATATAAGTTCAGTAGACGAGGTATCGTGCCACTGCAGTACTGTATTCGTCTTAGTCTCCGGCAGAACAATTTGAATACTGTCAAGCACAGGGAAGTAGCCATTTAAGACTCTCGTATTTATCTTTGTCACTGTCTTTGGCATTTCTATTACCGGGGAAAAACTTCGTCTGGCCCTTAAATATTGAGTCTCTATTTTAAGCAATGAAAAAAAACTCTTTGCTAATACATTGAAAAAAATGCACTTTTTCAATTTTTTTTGTCATAAATGTCGCGAAGTTAATTTTTGAGAGCGCGGCAAACGTCCGCTTTTCGACTCTATGTTGTGCACTTTAGACACGTATACAGACATTCGTTGAAAATTAATCTAGTATACTTAAATGTAAGCAAAACTATTCTTCGCCATATACCTGGACAAAAAAGTATTCTCAAGCCTGTATCGCAGAGCTTCCTCGCGGAGGAAGCTAAACTGAAAAATACGGAGTAAATAAACAAACGTCGGCTAAAAAACTTACTAATAAACATAATTTTTAAAAAACGTTACTCGGGTGCCTTATGGAATTTTATATGTGAACTCCGAGCGCGTATATCGCTAGCTGCATGAGCAACTTTTAACAAGTATAACGGCCGTAGTACGTAACGCACTTCATTACATTCAACGACGCTACATCTCCTTTTTTTCTGCTGCCGTTTTAATACTCCAACGAAATCTCTATCTCGATGTCGTTTAGAAGAAAAAAAAAAAAGGAAAAAGTAGCAGGAAATCTGCATACGAAGCCAATTACCGCAGTAGCGTACGCAACAAAAAAGTTTCCCAACGCCGCCCCGTACAGTGTGTGCTTTTTTCGTATATATTTTATTATGTATACGCGTGTGTATCACACCGATTCGCTCGCGCTACAGTACATTAAACTCGTGAATGAATATCCGAAGATAAAAGGGACGAAAAACATTATACCACCGAGTTGGCGCTGAACAATGTTTTCTTTTTTTTTCGCCATAGATATTTCTCTATGTTATGCGAAAGCTCTCGTGCCGCAGTTCGCGAATCGCTGAAAAGAGAGAGAGAGAGAGGCGGCTAATGGCGAGATGGTAATAAAAATTCGGTATGATCCAGGGAGTCTGACCGCACCGGCGAGGGATTATTATACGGCTTTTCAAAGTCTTGCCATTAATCGTCCGAAGAATGGAACTTTTATCCCCGCGCACACGCACAATGGCCAGAGGACCTCGAATTTATCCCAACGGCCTCGCGCGTCTTATACCCACAGGCGGCGTACTATATGGCAGGTTCGTTTGCCTCGGTCCACTTAGCTTTACGCGAATTTCAATGTGCGCGGATGGGTGGACTGTATGTACGTGCGCGAATACCTACGTACCGCTTCGCGTCCGCCGTGGCTTTGAACCGCATTAAATTGGCAAATCACTCGCTACGTTGGAAATTCAATTCTCTCCAAAACTTTTATGTCGGCGCGTATAAATCAAGGTGGTACGAGTCATCTAGTCGGTCGATCGAAGACGGAAGAAAAAAAGTAACCCTCAACTTTGTGCGATTATAAAATAATGCACTCCACGGGAGTCTATGTGATAAAGTAATGCGTTAACTAATAATCAGATAACTCGTTAAAAAAATTCAAAAGAAGGAGTATCTACGTCACGCGGGGTTCCCAGGCGGTCACCCATCCAAGTACTAACCGCGCTCAACTTTACTTATATTCGGTGATCGGACGAGAACCGTAGTTTTCAAAGTGATATGGACGTAGGCATTGAATGAAACATTTGAAGCGCACAAAATTTGAAGTAAATTTTTATTTTATAATTGAATTGAAAAAAATTAATTTGAGCAAATTTGTTTATTGGATCACAAGAAAAAAATTTTGTTTTTGTTCTATTCAAAGGTGGTTCGAGGAAATCTAACGTGCAGTTCGAGCTAAATGTACTTTATTTATTGCATTGGTAAAATACTCTAGTAGAAATGATCAACATTAATAATTCCAATGAAAAAATGAAAAGATGAAATGTTTTAGACGCACTATCATTAATTGGTTTGTAAAGGGAGGTTTTCTGCTGCAATTAAGTTACAAATATTAGGGACATTTTAAATTACTTTAAACACTATTACTACTTTAAGCCTTCACCACTAGATGGCGAGTACCTGTACCTGTATAATCTGCATGTAGTAAAGTAAAAGTAATTGTATAAGTACAAACATGATTTTGATCAGTTGATCTCCTCGTGTCAATACGTCTATGAAAATTGTAATAAAAAAGGTAGTATTTTAAAATCGATCTGGTGGATTACAACCCTATTCAACAATAAGCTCGAGCATAAAATGCAAATATCGATGTTTAGTACGATGCAGCTGAAGGAACTATCGATAAGCGATAAACGACGAAAAATAAATGAACGAAATTGAAACATTACCGTTAGTTGCGTTAATCGCCCCTTCAATTCAATTAACTGGATATCCATAGTTGCTATATATACAGCAGCTATATTGTCGAGTCGTATCGGCCCGGTCCGATCGAGCATTACCAGCCATGCGTACATAACATTCGTTTCGTGCGCGATCGCCTCCATTTACGTCTCCGCAATCGCGTTCGGCGCTCGAGGCGGATATCTATAATAACGTGGCCAGCGCGGAACTAGATTAAAATCTTCATCGACGCCGCCGCCGCCGCCGCTACCCCCCGCAACGAGATAATCAACAAAAGAGCCGCCACCGATTAATACTTGAATCTTAAAGTGGCGCAAGAATGTGTGTAGTGGCACAGAGAGAGACGTTAATTCGAGGACGCATAATCGAGTTTGCAAACATCCGCAGCAGCAGCAGCAGCAGTCGCGGAAGTTGCCGTACGTCGCCGCCGCCGCACGCAGACGCGTTATATTCGTTATAGTTCGTGGTTTGGCGAACAATTTGAACTTCGTCGCGTGAACACTGCCACGCGGAGGCACACACACACACATAATAATGATGAGATGCGCGACCGAAGCAAAACCAGCGACGGCGGAAATTTTCTCTATTAATAATGCTGTACGAGAGAGCTCGAATTCGACTCGCAGCAGGAATTTTGCGCGCGCGAAGCGATTCGTTGATGCGTATTGTACGTGCGACACAGGGCGACGAATATGCTGCTTTTCGAATTGAAAAGTTTGTTATAAAAAAATTAGCGAGTTATCGTTTCGAATTGTACAGCTTCGATATTCCATATAACCGAGTAAACGCGTATTATCGACATGCCATTGTTGAGTTTTATTTTCTAAACGTTCGACGCTCTAGCAATCATCATCTTTACCAGATGCCCGATATCTCGCCTCTTTTTGTCTTTCTTTTTTTCCTCTCGTCGTAAGATCAGTGTCCTTATCTTCCTGGTCGAGCATTAGGAGGGGCTTTTTTGCCGCGCGTCCGAGCGCGAAACGTGCGCCAGATAGTTGCCAAAAGTACACAAAAAACATATCCTCACTTTTATTGTAACGTCATATTGGAACATCTTGGAAATAATATACGAAAAAGAAAACGTCAGGAATCGCGTTCGATATTGCGACGCGCGTCGCTGCGAGGAACGTCGTTCGACACATGCGCCTCTCTATCGATCGCATCGCAATTTTGCATTTGTTTACGAAACCGCGCGACAGCTGCGCGTGGTGTATACGACATAGCTCGCTTGCGGCTCAATTACCATTTACCGAAACTTTATTGTATTTTTTGCTGCTGCTGCTGCGTCTATGCAGTGCTGGCGCACGACCTTGCGAACTCATCCAAGTGCATGTACACGAGAGGTCTCTCTATCTGTCTCTCTTTCAATAAAAGTATGATTTACGAAACCCGCGAATCGAAATCGACGTACGTATCGACTATTATAATACATCGTGGTGAAATATATGATCGCCGTGGACAATATCAATTCCATTGCGCGCGAGGAGCCAATAAAAACCGAATGGCGCACGTGCGCACGCTACGTAGTTTCATCTATTTTTACTGTTGAAAAAAGTCGTAATACATTATTTCTCGCGTGCGATCTTGACGCGCTGCACGCACCGCATTGATGTAATTTACAATGCATCGCGAATCATGGACCGAGAAAAATACAAGACGCGTGACCACTGCGTACACGCAGTTTTTGGACGTTTTGCAATTTAGAAATTTGACCTATAAAAAGTACCTGATGTGCGCAGTTGAGCTAAAATGAGCTAAAAGTTCGTTTAAAACGCGATAAAGATCATAAGGTGAATGTGTTCAAGCTTTTTTATTATCATCGTCGTCTTTCAGCTGATATGAACACTAAACAACCAAGCCGAATGACATGAGTTTGAATGTACTGAGCACACGTTCTACTCGCCTTTCAGATGAATAACGAGATGGTGTTGGCTTTTTATTAATTTACCGATGTTACTTTGAAATTCAAACTCCACCTTCGTGTATATTTAGTTGTATACAAAAAAATTTGATAAAATTTGCATTGAAATTTTGCCCTAATGGAATTCTACTAAAAAAAACAGAATTAAAATTGAAACAGAAACAAAAGGTTAATCCAAGTCAATTAATGAATTCAAATTTTCTTTAATTCATCTATTCGAATCATACGGAAAATATAAAAAAATGTAGTAACAACAAACAATCAAACAAAAAAATAATAATAATAATACAAGTATGCTTATTGGACGTGCGAGCTTTGACCCACGGCCGCACAGCAAATATGATATAAATCTTTGTTTATCAGCTGCTCGATGATGATGTCGCAGCAGATAAGTGGCAGTCTCGTCAGCTCCATCAGAGGATCCAGCGCCCAGCGCCGGAAGAATCCTCTCGACAGTTTCTCGCTTAGATGCACGGCTAAAGCCTTATTTTGCGCATCACTGAGTCCCGTGTAAGAAGTCTTTTGCGCTAACTCGAAGAAGTCCGAATATGTTAACCGGTTCATCAACTCTTTGGGTTGTAAAGAGATCAGATCATGGAGCGAGAGTTTCGTACGTTGTCGATCGTTGTCGGACTCGGGTGGCTGGACGAAACCTGGAATCATTCTTGCGACCGCAGGATACCAGTCATCTTCGTTCAAAAATAGATCGTCGTCAAACTCGGCCGGTGGCCTTATATTACTATACGAAGGATTGTAATCAGGAGAAGAATAAGAATACTCTCCTCTTTGCGTCGGAGGTATCATTATTCTGCTCGTCTCCCTCCAGAACGTGTGGTCGCGGCGCGCACATTGAATAAAATCCACCGACTTCTCCATCAATTTGCACCGAGCCAAGTAATTCATGATGATCAGAGCGTCGCTTCGTTTCAGTTCGTATCCTCTTTTTTCTAGTCGCTCGACGACCATCATAGCACCAGATGCTCGTATCAATGTATCATGGAAATCTCTATAAAACTTGGGCATTTTGAGTTTCGTGCCGAACTGACGCTCAGTTGGGAAAACGAAGCTAGTCAGATCGGCACCACGATCCAAGAGTATATCGATAGTATTCGGCAAAAGATTGGCCACGGCCAATTGAAGCGGTGTCCGGCCCTGATTGTCCAGGCAATCGATTAGCACCATCGTTTGTGCCTCGTCGCAGGCCTTGAAGAAGCATTCCATCACAGAGTCGACGGTTCTTTGGTAATTGATTTTGCAAAAGACGTGCAGAGGAGTCGATCCATCCTCGTCGGGCAAATTCGGTTCGGCGCCATATATCAGCAGCAATTCGGCGATCTGCCCGCGATCGTAAAGTACAGCCGTGTGCAACGGTGTTCGACCAAACTCGTCCTGAGCATCGACTTGCAGCGGATGGTATTTGTCGTCGCTGAGCTCGAATAACAGCCGTGGCCACTCATTCATTTTTACGCGACTTCGGATGATAACGTGCAGAGGTGTCAATCCTTCTGCGTTGGCCAAATTCGGATTGGCGCCAAGTCGCAGCAGAGTCTCGGCCAGGTTGTAATCATCGCTGTACAGAGCCAAGAGAAGCGGCGTATCATCGGTTTCTGGCCAGACGAGATTAGGATCCTGGCCGTGTTTGATAAATGACTCGACGATACGAACTTTCTTTTTCAAGCAGGCGGCATGAAGATGACTGAAGCCAGACTCGTCTGTGTAATTCGCATCACTATCGTACATTTCAAACAGTTTATCTATCACGTTTTGACGGCATAAGTGTCTAGCCGCATAGTGTATCGGTGTGGTTCGACGCAACAGTGGCTTGCCGTCTTCATCTACGTCAGGCACGTCTTTGTAGCCCGTTCGAGACACGAAGTCGACGAATGTATTAATGTAATGTTCGCCGTTCTTAACCAATTTCTTCATATCCTCCAAGAGAAGCCAATCAATTTCTTCCTGTTGAAAAATTTCACGAAGATCTGGAAGTTTGTTCACCCAATTTTCAATCAAAGGATAAAGTTTACGACTAAGTCGGTCTCGCTCTCGTTTGACCTCCCAATTCGTCTCTTGTCGCAATCTCTTCAATTTATCCAATAACCCTTGGTCGTAATCGTCCATCGTGTGTGTAATGCACTCGTACTTGAACATTTTAATTACAATTTTATGACCGAAAGGATATTTTTTTTCTGTTTTCACTGCGGTTTCGACTACTGACTTTATGACTAACGATCCAACTGAGTATATAGACGTAAGCGCGAAGCTATAAGTAAAGTGCGAGTTATGTCGAGGTAAGTATTTGTTTACGTTTGATCGAGCAATGAGAACGATTCGTTAGTATCGTCGTTGTACATTTTATTTACACTGTTTGCGATGTGTAACAATGTACTCGCAGAGCTCGAGAAATAGTTTGCCAGCATTAATTGACCTCAAAGATCTAAAGTATTGTCGACATAAATGAACAATTGAGTGTTCAATTTAGTTTTAAATTTAAGGGTTTCAACGATCTTGGAGCGCGATTGACGCGTATGTTTCGTCGAAACGTTAAACGTACACACACACACAGACACACGTATACGGAAAGAGTCTCGTGACAGTTCGTCGTGCGAAACTGACTTCTGACTTTACTTGCCAGGCCGTCTCGATGAAACCTTAGAATATTCTATAAGCACACCAATTTATACATTTTATAAAAAAAATTTGGTGTGCATTGGAAACTATTATTTAATGCATGATGATGAGTGCGAACGCCTTGTTGGTCAAGACGGCTAGACAACTAGAGTTAAGGGTTTTATAAACGAATGTTGACTTTACATTATCGCATGAAATTAACATTTTCACTTTTCACTTCAGTTTTTAAATAATAAATAGAAAAAATTTATCATATTCTAAATTTTTGAATTATTCTAATTACAAAATTTTTAATGTGGTTATAGTTTGAAAAATCAAAATGTTAATTTTGCCTGAATACTTGACGTCATTTACTTGATTTCGACAATATCATAGCTATCATTAATTTATAATTGTCGATTTGAGTTTGAACTTTTCGAAAAAAAAGAAAGACGTTTGAACTGAGACTCGAATTATAAGGATCAAATTAAAATTTCTGCATTTTTGACAAATAAAATTCATTATCAGTTACTATATTTTTAATGGGTGATTTTATATTGAACACAGAGAGAAAATATACGCGTTTGAGGGGGGACCTGTAGTAAGCAAAAATCGCTGGAACGCTTGCCTGGCTCAATCGCTGGCTGTCCGGCGATGATATCCGGAGACTCTAGCGTCGCTTTGGTCGCTCGCACGCTGGAACTTGAGTCGACCTAATGTGTGAGATATTCGACTTTTAAGGTTTCCTGGCGATTTTCTCGGGAAAAAATGAAAATTTCGGAAAAATTGACCATACCATTGGAAAACTGAGACAATTTCCTATCGGAATGGTGGATTCATTTATTTTTTTAAGTGCATTCAGGCACTTTTTCAGTGAGTTATAAATTTAGCGATTAGACTAAATAATGCCGCGTGGCCGTAGATCGACTCAAGTCCCAGCGTGGAGTCTCCGGCGATCATTGCCGGACAGCCAGCGATTGAGCCAGGCAAGCGTTCCAGCGATTTCCGCTTGCTACAAGTCCTCCCTCAAACGCGTATATTTTCTCTCCGTGAATATACATAAAATTTAAAGTTTTTTAACAATGTAAAATTAGTACCATACAATCAATAAAAAAGAATCAGCACTGGTGTCCATTTAGTCATCGAAGTCGTCGTTTGAGTCTTAATCTGGGCACAAGTATAAATTGAAGCATCTAGTTCTCGTTTCCTTTCGCCATGGTGTAGGGGCAGCAAATTTTGGAATGAATAATAAAATTTTTTTATTAAACTTGTGTATGAGGATTTATTCACTCGATGTTTTTTGTGTGAACTTGACGTGTTGTCTGTTGGGAGTTTTTTTGCGAAGTACATGGATTTAAAAGTCCAAACAAATTCCTCTGAGTCGACAAGTTAAAAATTTTTAACTGGTTCAAATATTGTACGGGCAATGTATAAGCGGATAAATTGTTATCTTAATAGTAAACAATATGATCATGATTGATATAATTGATCATTTTAAATCAAAAACAAATTAGTTTGTATGTTGTCTTTGCTAAGGAAACAAGTCATCATACCATAAGATAAATTTTACTCATTCAATTTTCGTGGTACTAAATAGAGAGATCAATCATTTAATTCAGACGCCAAAATGGATGAAAATGAGAAATATTCCGAGGAATTTGTTTTGGAAAGTAATTTAAGCGAACAGGACTCTATAGTTTTACACGACACAAAACACGTGTGTGATATTTGTCAGGAGATATTTATACTGGAATCAAGCATGATAGCGCACCAAGACACAATTCACAATGATCAAAAAGATTTGGCATGTGACAGATACGAGAAAAGATTTGTGAATAAATCAAGTTGGTTTACGCACCAAAAAATAGTACACAAAGATCGAAAAAATTTCTCATGCCATAAGTGCAAGAGGCAATTCGAAAATGAGTCACATTTATCCAAGCATAGAAAAATATTCCACGAAGTTTTCAAAAATTACTTATGTGACTGGTGCGCGAAACCTCGCCCTATAATATCGCGACTCTAAATTTTTCAAACACATGCAATAGTGAAATATTGGGACGGTCTTGATGACGGAATGATTATTGCTGTTAAGAGAAACGAGACCGATGATAAAAAAATTTTTACCTGTTGGACTTCTAGGGAGGATCGCGTGTGGCGCATAAAAACTCCCAACTAAACGCTCTGTTCCTCTTCTCACAACCAATCGATATCAGAAAGTATCTTTTTTATTGTTGTTCTAAAATTAAAATGCGAGATTTTCATATCTATACTCTTTTTTTAGGCTCATGCAGCGAGTTGAAAACTGTGCATTTTTTCTATTTAAAATGCTCGGCTTTTCATTTCTATTGTATTCGAATTATGCACCACGGATGTTTGATTGGTTTATTAATGAAAAACAAGCAAATTCATTCAAATATATATGATTATTTAATTATTTTATGCCGATTGCCGAAGTCACTCTACATCAAATATACTGAATTCTCGAAATAATTTTACCATTCTAAAAAATACCACATGATGCACTTATCTTGCAAAGTTGTGTGTCAAAAATAACTGAAGTTATAGAACAAAATGTTTACACACAAAAATCACTATACTACATTGCAAAAATTATTTAACCCATTTAAATACATAAGTATTGTTACTAATTAATTTTTTTATTAAAACAAAGGTAAACACGCGATAATTTACGTAATACAGTGAAATAAACGAGATATTATTAATTCTCCTCAAAAGTTGCTTCGTTAATTTCCATTTACACTTTGGTAGGAGTTATAGGTGCAGTTTTTTTCGTAGACAGCAGCATCGGTCCCTTGCGAACGCTACTCTTTATATCTCGCGCTGAAAAAAGAAAAGTGTCCGAGCATATTTTCAAGGCTATTCGAGACACGTGACACGGAGAATGAAAATTTTTGCTCAGAGAACGCGTCGACACTCACAGCACTTTTGGAGCTTGACGTCGCATTTGTTTTTCGCCGGGCAGTCTCGATCGGTCTTGCAATCGACGTTGGCAGCCGCGGCAGTCTCGTTGGCTCTCGTCGTCGTCTCACGACGCGCTCTCACCGCTGGCAGGTACAGCTCCAGAACGTCCGGTTCTGCGCCAGATCCCTTCGACACACGCGAATGCAATTACTCGCGTTTGCTAACTTTTACGATATCATAAGCTGGATATGGATAAATCGATTGTATACTCACCGAGTGTCTGTTGAACGGTGTCCCAAGATTTATAATGTGTATAGTCGGCTCCTTCTGCGGCGCAAAGGTCAACGACGATTAATAAAAATCTCTTATTTATCGGGATGAGGCGGGTAGCGCCTGGATTACGACACTTGTTGCAATCGTTCTGCTGCTCGGGCACGTGGAATATTACCTTTTTGGCACTGCCACCACCGCCGCCACCACCACCACCACCACCACCACCACCTGTGAAGTCGAAGATGCAAGTAGCCGAGACGAGACAAACGACGTGCACCAAAACGAAGAGCGCAACTAGGCGAAACAGCATGATCGAAATAACGTGTACGGCATGTACGCGAGGTAATACAAGGCCGAGCACACGCAACGGACTATCGACAATCGTTTGTTTCTCGTTGCAACTCGGCAACGATTTATATACCGTACACACGCTTGACTCTCTGGGTGCGAAAAATGATTAACTTTTTATCGCAGCTGTCCGACAGTAGTAAACATAAAACGTATATACTCATCACTCTATGAGTTCGGTTTTATCTACCCGCTCCTATAGGTAATTTGTATTTTAACAGCTCGTGTATCGAGTAAAACGTAGGATTGCCTTTGGCCAGCTCACTTAAGCGCTTGTGTATTCCTTGTTCATATAGATATAGTGTAATTTTCTTTTTTACAAAGTTAAGGCTAACAAACTGACGCTACGTGTGCTCTCTATAACAAAAAATATATTCAAATTAATATAAAATTATAACTTCTGTTTAAAGAAATTGCTTGTTGTACACCAAGCTTATGTTAGATTATGCTTTAGAAAAGCAACTGATAATTATATAAAAGTCGATATAAATATAAAGGATATAAAGGATAACTCCAAAAAATCAATTGTTTGTCTATATAAAAATCGAATGCATTAACCACTTGAGAGTTTCGATAAATTTATCTATGCGCCACCTGTGGATAATATATAGAACTTGAAGAGAAACTTGTACAATTATAACAAGGTTATTGAATGTTTATAGTTGATCCAAAAAAAATGCTTCGAAATTGTTGCAATTTTCCCAAAAGCTTTCTACGAACTTTTCTATAATTCTGAAGTCAATTTTTGTGCGTGTAAAGTTTAAGAAATTGTTCGTTAACTGGACAAGAGAACTGAAATTCCATTGACAGTATTTCGTGTGAAATTACATTTACATTTCGAAAATAATTACATCGACGGTACCTTCGATTGTGGAAACATATCCCTACTACTAGTTAAAAACAATATCATTCTGGAAACTTCCCGTAAGCTGTCCTAGAAAGCTTTCATAGAAAATTTTCACGTGGTCTAGGTTATTCTAAATTTTTTTCTACGTATCGATTCGCCTCATGTATAAGAACGCACGGTGTAACGAAGTTATTTCGCTCTTCTTTTTTCTTTTCTCACGCACCGCGCGCGAGCCATGTTGATCCGTTGCGTCGAAGGCACATATAAAAAAGCGAGCCGTAATACCCCGGTAATAAAACTATCGCTTAGCGTTCGCTCGTGTGCCCCTCGACTTCTTATCTCAAACGAGCCAAGGATCAATTTCCTGCGCGGGGATCGAGTAAGTAGCAGCAGCAGCAGCAGTAGCTTCAGGAGAGAAAGAAAAGGAATCGAGACCTCCGCGGTATGTGCGTGTATAGCGAGTCGAGTATCCATCGGGTTTATTTGCGTACCTATATATCGCGCACGTACGCGCGTCACTTGCCGCGATCTCTATAGCGCTCGGCGCGAAGCCGGATCATCATGAGAGCCACGTCTTCTCTCGCCAACTCTTGCGCTCTTGTGCAGGCTTCGTATGCGTATGCACGCACGTGTGTGCATACATGTACGAAGGCGCAATATATCGACACAAAAGAAGACACCCGGTTGACGATTCAATTTAACTGCAACTTTATTCTACTTCTTTTTCTATTTTTTTTTTCTTATATCGTCCCTGGAGAAGAGCCACACAGAGTGGGCTGTGCCTCGCAGTGCATACAATATGTATACTTGTGGGTATGCACACTTATACGGGCCAAATGTAAAATTTATATTTACGTATAGTGTGCAGTTTTGCTGGCGAGATGCGCCTCCGCCGACTAAAAGTTCGGATATGTGCGTAGAAATATTATAACAAGGTTTGCCGCCCACAAATACGTTCGCGCGGCGAAATTTTTTTCCTCGTTGATTCGACGTTTAATATTGAAGCGTACACCCGAACGCGTGCGATACAATTAAAAAGTGTGCGCTGAATTGACGCTCATTCGAAGGAATAATTTTATTCCTGCACAGCGATATGTTCGTCTCATCTAGCCGGAAGAGATGAAAAAGTTAAATTTATCTTATGAATATCTTTATGATATCTTATGAAATTTTCTGCCAACATACGTGACTCGGTACTAGAGCCGTAAAATGAAAATAGAAAAAAACTATGGGTCTGTATCCGTAGGAAAAAAAAATGAGCGTACGGTAAATCGTAAAAGCTGCTGGTTTCTCTTGGACGACGCATTTGTGATTCCGAGGCGACTGCTGCCGGCTGCATACGGCAGCAGAAATAGTAGTAGTGCAATCTAACGCACGACAAATAATGCAGAACTATACACACACGCTCGCACAGGCATATATATAGGGCGTAGGGAGCAATTTCGCGCGAATATATGAAGCGAAGAAAATATATAACGAAAAGTTACACGTGAGCTTTTATAATAAGCGTGCGTGAATATGAAGAAGGAGAATGACAGAGAAACGTCAAGAAAGAGCCTAAATATGCTTCAATTTCCTTTTCATATGCTGCATGGAATCTGTTTTAGTTTCGAAGTCAAACTTCTTTTAGGAGGTTCTTTCAACATTTGTCCAGAAATAAGATCAGCCCCATTTGATAGATTAAATGTAGATATATAAACGTACACAAACTGTTTGGAAAGAACGTTCAAAAAAAAGGAGTCGAATTTCGTAAGAAATGATGCGAGCGCGTACGCCGTGCGTGTATCTGTGATCCGCCTCTCAAAGCGTGCTTTTTGCGAGGAGGCTCACAAGCAGCTTGGATTTTCACGAAAAGTTCATACGACCGGAGCATATGAATTTCCCGAATTGAGATGCACGAAAAAGTCTTTGTTGGTTTTATTCGTTCACGTCAATCAGTTAGATAAAATATATTCACACACTGCACATCGACTGTTGAACGTCACTCTATTTTTCATTTTGATAATTATTTTTTTATAACGTTCACGTTCATTGTGGGTAGAAAAGAAGTTCTGTATCAAATGATTCTGGTAGAAATCAGTGGAAAATGTTGTAGAAGAATTGGTAAATACCATGTATGAGGATGCATTTTTCGCAGCAAAAATGTTAATATGATAAATAATATTTTGTAAAAAAAGTAGATTAATGTGTATTTCGATTTAAATAAGCGCTACTTCTGTTCTAGTCAGTGTGCATTTGCCTACCTTCACAACACTGCGCATTGTCAGCCTTTGTAGCTTCGCGCATATGTTCACGCTATGTATTATGTATTTATGTATCTCGTTGATTATTGATCGATACGACGCCGCAGTGACAAATAAAAATCGCATCCGTTGGAGTCGATGATTTTTGAGGTTTGTGTGTAAAACAATGGACCAAGACAACCGAAATAGTTTGGAAAAATTAAAGGGCATTCATCAAGAGGTCAGTGAGAAGATTAAAAAGGAGCGATGGAAATTTCTCAAACAACTCTATTACTTGTTCGGCAATTGGAAGGGCCAACTTCCTAACCTCCAAGACATTTTTCGAAAGCAAGAAATTGAGTGTCTTCTCGCGGATTCCGTAATTTACAAGAGCGAACGTGTGGGTAATAATGCAGGAGAATTAATTATCGACTTTGTTGTCAGAACCGGATACAGAGACGAGCCCAACGTGGATGAAGAAGGCAAGCCAAAATTGCGTCGCGCTACTGCAGTGCATCATGCGGCTAGACATTGTTGCAGCCATGTTATCAGTAAGCTTTTCAAAATATACGACAGGTTCGACGCGAATTACATCGATAAGTCTGTATTAACGCATTTCCACGTTGCCTGCATGTATGACTGTGAAGACGTCGTAAAAAAGTTCCTCGAGCACGGTCAGGATCCCAATTGCCTCGTGTCAGAAACAGGTGACTCGCCACTGCACTTGGCTGTGAAAAATCAACATAAGCATGTGGTCGAGCTACTGTTGAGAAGCGGCGCTAATCCCAATTTAGCTAACAAGGATGGATCGACTCCTCTGCATATTATTTGCGCGGAAGACGTCGGTGATGACTTAGCAGAGCTATTCTTCAATATCAACGACGAAAAAAATCAGGTAATGCAGGTCGACGCTCAAGACAAGGAAGGTAATACGCCGCTACACTTGGCTATGACCTACAGCCAAGAAAAGTTGGCCGAATTACTGCTGAGACACGGCGCAGATCCGAATTCGATCAACGAGAATCGAGAGACTCCTCTTCATACGATTTGCCTCAGAGACAATTTCGACGAAGATAACTTGGCGGAAGTATTCTTTAAAATCGTCAACGACATCCAGAAAACAGTTCAGGTCAACGCTCTAGATAAGTTGAACCGGACACCCCTGCAATTAGCTCTGACCTGGGCCCAAAAGCTGACGTTGGAATCGCTTCTGAGAAATAATCCCGATCCGAATTTTACCAATGTGAAGGGATTTACAATTCTACATATTATTTGCCAGAGATACCAAGATGATGACTTGATGGAGAAATTCTTTAAGATCACCGACGACAAACATCAGCTGGTACAAGTCGACGCTCGAGACGAGTTGGACCGGACGCCACTTCAATTAGCAGTGGCCAATCTTTTGCCGAAAACTATCGATATACTTTTGGATCGTGGGGCCGATCTGACTGGCTTCGTTTTCCCAACTGAGAATTACTTTGGCGAGAGACTTGACCCGGAAAATGATCATTGGATTGATAGTGCAAAAAAACTAGCCTCTGGCGCTCTGGCCGTTGTCGAGTGCTTAGAAAAAAGAGGATACGAGCTGGACCGAAACGACGTTCTGACGATCATGAAATTTTTCGCTGGGCAAGAACTTTTCGAGAAATCGTCGGATTTTACAAAACGTTTGTATGACAGCGAGGTGTTTGCGAGCAAAGCCAAAAAGATAAAGATAAGGGATAATGATCCGGACCAGTCACT